CCTTCAGATCACTTCCGTCGACTTACCCCGATCGCCTACAAGTACGTCCTTCTAATCACCTCAGGCGAACACACTCCCTCACTGTCAAGACTAAGACTCTCCATCCCCTTCGAGTGTCCTTCAAATCACCCCGGGAAAACATACCGTACCGTAAAAGACCCCAAGAATTATCGACGTCAGGGATAACGTTTTGGCTTATACAACAGAACAAGGCTCTCCGTCGGGAGTTAGGTTGGATGACTTGCCTCCCAGGGGCGACGCAAGAGGACATGGTCAATACCATCGCGGTCGCATCGTTGCATCTCAAACGTCTCGGTAGTGAGTGCCGATTTCTCGTACAAACTGCAGAATTTACCTGGAGTTTTGCATCATGTGCGGGGTATTTTTTTTTTCTCCCCGTGACTTTTCCGCGCGTGCCTGTGTGCTTTACGGCTAGTGACGACGTCTTTGCTGCAGGTCTACTGCTGTAATCCGCTGCGTTTGATCACTCGCTCTTACGTATTCGTTTTGCCCATGGTCTGTGGGACTTGTGTCCGTTGCGCAGGAATGACAGAGGGAAACACCCCGTCAGAAAAGTGTTCCTGTTCAGTTTTCGTATATACAGAACGCGCCACCACTTAGGAACTTAGCTTGAACCTCAAACCTCAAACAATCCAAAATCTAAGAACGTGGCTGGCCGTAAGAACAGGTGCTCAGTTCCGACGTGGCATGAAGAACAAGAACCCACCGTTATGGTATACACATGCGTATACAGATAATAACGGAGCTCCAAAACGCGGCGACTACAAGATGATAACTCAGGAGGGTGGGGGTGACCCAAACAGCAGTAGTGTCAGATTCGAGGCGGGGGAAGGGGGGGGAACCTCGTGATAAAATACTTGTACGTGCGGAGGCGGAGGGCATATCTCTCTCATGTTTCGCATGCCTTAGCGGTGAGACCATTGGTCAGACCATTGACCACACGTTGAACGAGAGGACGCATCATTGTTCCAACAGAATCGATCACCGACGGCCAATCGTTCCTTGCCATGTACTTTGAAGCAGTACTTTGCCAAAGGGGGCTCAAGAATGTCTTCCCCAGTCTATCCATCCAGTCGATGTCACTTGCCGCCTCTTCAACACACTTCCTATGCATATGCCTCATTACAGTTATCCCGTCTTCTCCTGGCTATTCCATGCCTCAAACATCTCTCTGTACCTTTTCCTTCTACTTTCCCCAGCTCAGCCATGTACTTTTCCCTCTCCTTTCCGTACAACAGACATTCCGCAAGCACATGAGCATGGTCTTCGCACTCTGAGCCGCATTCGCATCTGGATTTGTCGTCGTGTCTACCTTCCTAAATCTCCGTCTACCCACTTGAAGGCTAATGTCCCCAGTCCTAAATTTAGCCTTCCGTTTTTTCCTGCATCCGTTTGGTCCATGTAGGGACTCTTTGATTGAAATCTATCATTTCTTCCAACATTCGTACACATCTACAGTGGACCCCCCTCATCGGAATCCTTGGTTTCTTTGATTGGATTTCTTTCTTCTCTCTCGGCAAAAGCAACAGATATCTTCTCCTTGAGCCCCTCTAGACCTTCCGTTTCCAGTGTATCACACCCTCGTCAATTTCGAACCCCTTCAATACGTAATCTACGACATGAACCCTTTCCGTGTGTTGTTACCCCAATACCTCTTGTTTGTCCACGTCACCTCCCATCAAGTTATTCTCGGCAACCTCTTCTCTTCCATACCGTACAACATGCGGTACTTTCTTTTGGTGGGGCGATCGTACTCTCACAACAACAGTAGTCGTGTATCGTGATGAAATCCACCCAGAAAGAACTGCCTGTGTCCTCTGCACAGGCAATCGGCTCAGAGATAGGAACAAGAACCCCGTTTGTCATAGGTGGATGCCTGCTCGAAATAAGAACTTGGAAAATAAAAACATGTCCTCGGTTGGAGGCAACCAAGAAGTGTCGAGCCTCAAGCTAAAGAAACGGTTCTTAAGACCCATCTTTATGGGGAGCAAATCTTCCTTTGGGCAAATCTTGCCTTTTTTGGGGGGGGGAGCCTGCGTCGCGAACGAATGCAAATCAGCTGTTCGACTCTCGAGAAAAATCACAGCTTTGGTCGAGATGTCTACAGATCACCTATTTGTTTCGCCAGGGTCCACGTTTGATTTTTCCAGCAGAGCAAGATTTGCAAATTCGTCCAAGATTGGGTCGAATAGCCAACTCCGAGCAAATCTTGGGTCAAGATTTGCCGAGATTTGAAAAAATGCTGGTTTTGGAAGGATCTTGCGTGAAAATTGCACATTTTGAAAAAGTCAAACGGGGACCCTTGCGAAACAAAAGGCAATATGTAGACATCTCAGCCAAAGCTATGACTCTTCTCGAAGGTGGAACTGCTGATTCGCATTCGTTCGGGAGGCAGACTGCCCATAAGGCCGAAAAAGACAAGATTTGCCCAAAACAAGATTTTGTTCCCATAAATCGGGGTCTAAGTGGTGGCGCGTTCTGTACAGCTCATATCTTTTTTGGCTCGGATTCGCAGCTCCTGAAATAGAGCCAGTCCCAGCGACTTTTCAGCGGCCATGACGCACACCAATGATGTCTCACGAGCCCCACACATAACGGATAATGTACCGACGACGTGCCATGCAATAGAAAGTGTGAGAAAAAACGCTGTCCCACCAGAGCAAAAAGACCACCACCAAAAAGTCGGATTTGTACATTGGCATATCACCATGCAGCCGAGCGTTGTATTCTGTGGGGGGTGTTATCTTGTGTAGCCCGGCGATAAAAGGTCTGGGAGCCATGAAGGGGGTTGCAACATCCAGTGCGTGTGGTATGCACCACTGCCACAAACAAACGCATGCAGGGGCCGAATGTGTGTGGTTACTGGGGTGTGTTGATAACCCTGACTGCAGAAAACTACCGGACTGCTGCCGCACTTTGCAGGGTGTGTGGTACTGAGCGGGGGCGATACAACTGATACCGCTCACTGCCTATAGTGAAGTTCCTGTCGAGCGTACTTGCAGTCGTGTGGGAATGACGGGAGGGGGGGGGCGGGGGTGATACACCCCCTGAGCCGCAGGTGTAGAAGAATTTTGTTGAAAGAAAGAGGTGATTGGCCAAGCCTGCTGCGGTGGAAACATTAGTGCGATGACTCCACAACGCTCTTCCTTGATGTTCTTCTGCGTTGCTCTCCTGCTTGCTCTCCTGCTTGCTTGCTCGCTTGCTTGCTTGTCCGTTGGTTTGGACAGGTCTGAGACTATGGAGGGCTATTTGCGGTGCATGAACGTCGCGGACTTGGCGATTGAGGCGCAGGCAAATATCTGTGACGCGTACCATTGGAAAATCTTTCATTTGGGCGGAGTTTTTGTCGCAAACACACCCACACGTTTGAATCTTGCAGCTTGAACTATGTAGTAATGTTGGCGGAGGAACCAACCCGGCATCGGTCAAGGTGTCCATTGCCAAACGTATAACGATCGATGCACAACCGTGTAGCCCGGGAAATTCGCTCGATCACCTCCCATCTGGCTCAAAAATATTAGAACTTTGAACAGCTTTGTACGCCCAGGGTTCAGATACCCTCTGAACTAACGAGTCTTCCTTCTTCTCCTTGTGTTGTTGCTTTTGGGCGGTTGTGGCAGATGAAGGCGGAGCAGGACCACGAGAGCCGTAACGTGTTCGCCATCGAGGGTACGAAACTCGTCATCCACAAACGCACCAAGATCAACCACTTCACGCAGATGTAAGTCGGGCTCGGTTCCGCTTCCGCTCATTTCCCAAAGTGGGTCTGTCTCGCCAAAGACGATGTATGTGGGGTCGGGGCTTGTTGGCTAGCTGGTTACCTACCATGTGTCCCCGAGGAAATGGATGGCGGAGGCCTCCATTCTCCACGCTTGCCTTCAATGTCGTGGCATCCGTTCTACCCTCGCTCTCTCTACATCTCATTTCCCCCGTCCTGCTACCTTGCTTTGGTACCAGCCGCTGCTGCTGCAGCACGTGCTGCTTCTGCAACGTTTCAAACTCATCACTTTCCGTCCCCTGCCGCCCCCTCCCCCCCCCCCTATTAGATATGAGCTCGACAAGGAGAAAATCACGGACGGCAGGAGCGGCCCCAAGCACTGCATGGTGTCGCTTCCGAACCCGGGCTGCCTGGACGGCCTCGTGCTCACCACCTCCATGCCCACCGCACAAGGCCAGATGCATCTCGTCGAGACCCGCCAACTTCTGGACAAGGGGCACGTACATGCTCAGGTGCGAACGGGGGGGGGGGGGGGGGGGGGGGGGGGGCGTAAGGGCTTCCCCCTTTTCCCCCCTCTAAAGGGTTCCCCAAGGAATTGGGGGGTCTTCCCCCCCTTGCCCCCCTCCCCAAAATTTTTCCCCCCCCCCGAAAACCTACCTTTTTTTCAAATTTTTTTT